GTCCCGCTCTACTTTGGGTCTCATTCCTCGAGCCATAACAGCACCCGTAGCAGGTAGTAGTCTTAGGCAGATAGTACCGCTGGCAAAAACAGGGGAGATGGGTATAGCCATTTCTTGCTTATAAGCCGTCGTCAGCCAGTCATACCCAACCCTCAGTTTTGTATCATCCGAAGCTCGATCTCGCGACCTTTTCGGTCAGAGTCTAGCGTTCTAAACATTGAGCAACGAGCTCCTTTTGTCAGTTTAGGTTGGGAGGTATTGACACTCGCTGATGAACGTTTCTAATGTCTGAATTGCGTATATTCATCCACCAGCCACCCCGGTCAGACACCGGAGAATTGAGATACCCACTTAATAAAGGTAGGTATTTTGGTCAATAGTTATGCAGAGGCTTCAAGTAAAATTAAATGTAATGGTACAAGTTTCGAGAAATGTGGATTCTCCGTTTCGCAGTTTGGTTTTCAAATATGCCTGCGGCATGCATCAATATCCTCCTCATTAAAGTTTGATTACTGAATGAATGAAAAAGTTTGCGTTCCAGGTACCTGCATGGATAAGGAAGAAGACTTGTTGAGCACCGGATCAGTTGATTTATTGTCCTGAACATTTGAACTCTTGCAGAAGTCCATCTTCAGAGCTAAGAAGCAGCAACCAAAAGGAGAGTAATTATAGTGGTCATAAGCCAATCAACTGTCAGCGGTCATCAAAACGTTATGGGGTAAGAAACATCAATCAAACAGGATGGGGGAGGGGCAATTATAGTGGTATACGCTAATTAACTGTCAGTGATGTCAGCGGTCGTTCGGTGTCATAAAAAAAATAATTAATGTAATTCCCTGTCTCCACAGAATAGGGTCCTGGTGATCCTGCCTCCTCTTCTGGCCCGTCCTCTTCGTTTGCATTTCTTACGTTCGGTTTGACCTTGTTCCTTTCCTTTGTTTCCATAAGGCCGTTAGACTTTGAGTTTGATTAGCTTCCTTACTAATATTTTTAATCCTCACAAATTTTGCCTACTACAGTTAGCTTAACCACTTTCCTCTCATATTCATAAATGAGCTCGGACAACAATTGCTGATTCAACGTTACCCTCTGAGCTGATTTTACTTCCATTTTTTTAAATGGGTGTTCTTCCAGCTCAATAGAAATGGCAAATTCTGAGACATGGCTACACTGTACCCCTTTATAAAATTCATTCTTTTCTTCAGTGGTCAATGCCCTAATAAATTCCTGCAGGTGCCAACTCGATTTCATAGTAATTTTTGTGGTTTCTTCGGTTCTAGAAATGCAATTAAAAAGCACTTAAACCGAAATGTCTCAGAATGGCCAAGGGGAACTTTATATCATTCGGATAGTTGATTTTACTGGAAGGCAATATTTTTGATTTTTGTTTGACGCTCTGCTGGAAGTGAACACAGAAAAAACAGCTTTAGGAAATTACACATGGTAGTTTTCATTTACAGTCCCTTGATTTCTCGAATACGATTGTTATAGTTGAGTAAATGCGAACTTTTGGAAAATCTCGCGTGGTCCTCAAAAAACATTCAAATAATATGATTGTCTATCCATTGCCTTTTTTATCGGAAAATTTGTTATTTTAGGCGATAGGTCACTCAAAAATACGAAAAATAGACAGGCAAAGAAACCTTATGTGGCACCGATTGGGAATCGCAATATGCAAGACTGTTACGAATGTTATTTTGCTTTTATTCTAGCTTGAAACCCATTTGACAAGGACAAGGGAATATGCATGTTATGCGACGCCGGAAAACGTGTTTGTTTTCCATTCTACGCAGTAACTTCTTTATCTTATTGTTTATTGTGCGTACGATGTCTCGAATTCCGCTCAATTCAAAATTTAACGCAAACGAACGGTGTGATCTTTTAAATTGGTTTTTCAGTCCATGCAGGAAAGTCGAATGGCTCCGACTTTCCTACAGTTACCTATGATTAAGGAATCCCGAGGGAATCCGAAACGTCAGGAAAATAAAAACCCTTGTTATATTGATCGCATCTTCTTCTTCTGTGGGGAAAATTAGTTGTGGCATTGAAATAAACATGCTCGATATACGACCTTCCTTAGAGGCATTTATAATATGTCAGGGTGCGCTATCGCGTTTAATGTACAATATGGACCCTAATGTAAGGACACTTCTCAAGATATATGGGAAAACAATTTAGAAGTTCACATTCAGTTATGGCGATCAGCTTCTTTTGATGGCTATTGAATATAATTATAGTGGATCTCCTCACATTATCCGACCTTCACTAACAGATGAAAGCTTTCATGCTTGTATGACTTTATTTTGCGTGATTTTGGCTAAATCCACAGAAGCCGCCATATGGTCTTCTCTTCCGCGACTGACTTACAAGCCTTAAAACCCTGGCGGCAACATTCGTTGTGATATTGCAGCCTTGACAATGGGTTGAGTAATATGCAATAGACGATAGCAGTCTGCCTTTCTAAGTGCCATTATTTTTTATCACGCGGGAGAGGGAACTGGAAGCTTTATTGAAGACCTTCTGCAGTTCAAAACAAATTTACCTTTTAAGATCGCAATTGTTGCTTGAAGATTAGATGGATTAAAGATATGGGAACGATATTGCCGAACCACTCAATAAAGTCCCAAACAATCAGTAAATTACAGGTTGAGTGAGTATTTCCTTAGCTTCATCGATAAAATCAATACTGGTTTAGGGACTATGAAAATGTCCTCAGCCAAACATTAAAATAAAATTCTTGTCCATCTTTTGCATTTGTTTTTGGGACTTTGGTTATTAAAGGTGATTCTTCACGCTACTCTCGTAAAACCGTTGCGCACGCTAGAGTAAGACGACCATTAAATCGCTATAACCATAGGGTTGGAGACCCTATTTGCTTGATTGTCATTCGAAAGGAGAAGCCAATCAGTCGTTGCTCCGAATGTGAACTACATAAGTCACGCCTAAATGGAAAAAGACTGAAAGCCAGCCCTTATGAATTCTGGGCGAACTATTTATATCCCTGCTGAAAGCACTGGTTATATTGAATTGAGTGTTTTTGAGTGTTTGAAGTGTTTTTCAAATTGCGTAATGTTTCATGCAGCACTCGCCATACTGTATAAAACGATATCTACGCTACCTTCTGACTGCGTACTTTTCCTTGTGTTAACGATCGGGCTTTGGATCTTGTTTGATGCGTACAACCAAATCAATTCCTCCCTCTCTCGTTTTAACCATGCCTGATTTATTAATTTAATGAAATGATACTAAAGTTCGCTGAAAGAAGTACTCCCGTGGAGGGTAATATTAAACGTGTGTCTATTAATTGCTCAAGTTTGTATGTAAACTGTGATTTAAACTCCATGCAAACACCACATGTTGCAGTCAAAACAGTGCATATTGCTTTTGTTTTATTTTGTACCTAGTGCACTTTATTTATCCTTACAAAACGTTGAGCTACGCCTAGTGTGTGCATATACATATGGTTAATATGTTTAGGTGACTGCTGACAGTAGGGACCACCTAAACTATAAAAGTAAAATGTAGCATTCTATAAAATTTGACATTACACCTCCTCCACCGACCATGACTTGAAGAGGATAGGCCCAAACACCATCTTCAAAATCCAGTTTATCTTACGTGCTAAAATATAAAATTGAACGACCATCTGTTTTTACACCCGCAACCACTTTCTCGCGCGTACACCTAACGTAGACAATCTAAAAAGCGTTTTCTTCTCGTCAGTATGCTTGTGGTCTTTCCTTGTTGCTACATAACTGATTGGTCTTGGTTCTAAAACGCTTGTCATTTTTTTAATTCACAGAGAGCATATACGGTACCGACTATCTCTCTGAAGCGCGACAACTGACAGACAGTCAGTCAAAGCTATTGGATGAAACAGCCTACCAACTCTTCTCTCTGTCAGTCA